TTCACCTTCCTAGACCAGGATGGAGGGGGGAGGACTTTGGACTTTCCACAGGGCAGGGAACCCTGACTGCTCTTCAGACTGGAGAGGGAGGGGGAGAGGAGGGGGAGGGGGAGGGAAAAGGGAGACGGGGAGGGAAATGGGAGGCGGGGAGGAGGCAGAATTTTTTTTTCAATAAAAAAAATTATATTACAAAAATAAAAAGTAGCTCCTGGGTTCAGCAAAGGCAGACAGGTTCTCCCTGCTCTCTTCTCTCAACTATAAAATCAGATTCTCAGATCCCACATGGCAGGCATATTCTCCTGTTCCCAGCAGGCTCTTGGGGTGACAACCTCTTAAAATAATATAAATTGGCTCTCACTGCTTGAGGTCAAACTGAGTCTTTAGCCTTTCTTTTCTCTCTCCTGGCTAATTTCTTACCATATCTATTGCAAATACACAACTAAAGACTTAATTTGAGCATTGTTTATTCAAGGAAAAAAATTCCTTTGTGGTACACTCAACTTATTCTAAGAAAAGTATTGTCTTCCCATTCTGCAGCAATACCGGAAACACCACCACAACTGCAATAACTGCAAACCAACAGCTCAGAAGCCACAGAAGGGGGCAAAATGTGCCTGAAGGTTTTAAGTCCCAACTCTAAAAAAAATTCTCTACTCCTCCAATTTGACGGATCCCGAGAGAGAGCTTCATTGTCCTGACTTGAAACTAATTCTGCCTAAAAGATACTAATGACAATGTCAAAAAGCAAGCACTCACAATTATTTTAAGTTGTATTAGCAGGAAGAAGCTTAGAAAACTGAGTTAGTAAGAGTGTAATCAAGATATGTGGTTAAAAAATTGGAGAATAACAGAACAGAGAATGGCTTGCTCGCAGGGTCCTTTGAAAGGCCCCAAGCTATTACTAGAAATATAGAAAGACATTTTTGCATGCCAATAGATACATGCCTTGAGATGTATGAATGCCCAAGAGAGACTTGAGAAGTCCCTGGTCATCCAAAACTAACTAACCATGCACAAGCCAAAAGAAAAGCATAAGGTAAGCAAAGGTCAAATTATAAACTGTCTGGCTGAGTGCTAAAGATATATCCCAAAACACAAAAGACATGCTGAAGTCAAGGTTAGTAAGTGTATTAGTTCAAATTATTTAATGAAACTGTTATCCAAACATTAAACAGTCAATGAACTAACCTACCACAGACTTCAGTAGGTTCATTACAAGAAAAGAATACCCACTACAGAATGATTGTAAATCTAAAATGTCAATAAACAAGCAAACAACAAGGAACATCAATGGTAAACTGTAGGGAAAAATAAATGATTTAATTTTAAGAACTGACATGTTTTATTATTTATTTAGTTTTATTATTTATTTATTTATTTATTTAATATTTATTTATATATTTATTATTTAGAAATATTTTTGGAAGATTTTATTTATTTTTTTATTTTGAGTG